ATTATAACTCTTTTTATTTTAAACTTAAGGTTATAATAATAATAATAAATATTAATTAAAAGTTTAAAGCATTTTTAATTAATATTAAATAATATTTATAAAGTTTAAATTTATTATTTTAATTTTAAATTTATATTATTATTATATTTTAAGTATAATCTTTAGTAAAAAACTTAAAATAAATTTAAAGCTTAATAATATATTAATATAAGATTAAAATAATATTTTATTTAAATATTAAAAGTATAAAAGATATTTTAAAATTAAAAAATAATTTTAAAGTATTTATAATATTATTATAAATTTAATTATATTTAACTTTTTTTTATAATAAGTTAAAGATAAATATAAACTTTAATTAAAGCTTTAAGCTAATATATAAAATAATTTAGCAATATTTAATATAAAAATAAAAAGAAATAAAATTAATAAATAATTAGCTTATAATTAACTTTTTATTTTTCTTATTATTAATTAAAAATATATAAAATTAAAATTATATTTAAGCTAAATTATTAATAAAAATAAGCTATTTAAATAATAAAAAATAGGTTTTATTAAACCCTTTTAAGAATAACTTAAAGAGAAGCTTTAATATAATAAAAAGGGAAAATAGGAATAAAAGGGAATTAAAGAAAGGGAAAAAATAAATATTTTAAAAATTCTTAAAAATAAGAAAAGCTTAATTAAAGCATTAAATATATAAGAAAAGAGAAAAGTTAATTTCTTAAAAGAATGTTTAAAATAAGCATAAAAGCTAGCTTTTTATAATTAGCCGGAATTTAACGTAGTATTATTTCTTACGTAATTCCCTGCACCCGCTAATAATATATTATTATTATTAATGCTTGCATAATAATTTATAATAAAGACTATTTATTTCTATAGCTTAAAGTAATTTCCTACATAATATATTTATGGAATTAAAAATTATACTTAGCCTTATTATATTAAATAATGCCATTTAAGGCGCTTTATAAATAAAAGCTTAATATTAAATATTTTTAATTATATTTTCACTTTATATACCTTTATATCCTTATTAAGGCTTATAAACTAAGAATAAAATTATTAAATAAAGCTAAAAAGGCATATTTTATAAAATTTAAGGCTAAAGATAAAACTATTTTTTATTTATTTATATTGCTTTAAAAAGTTATTATAATTATAATATTAAGCTATATTATTTAATTTAATTTAATAATAAAAATTATATAAATAATTAGTTAATTAAATAAAAATATGCTACTTAAGATAAAGGTATTATTAGCGTCTTAGCTAATGAAACTTACTAATAATATAAAACCCATAGATAAACTTATAAATAAACTACTTAAACTTATAAAACCCATTAATAAATCGCTTAAACCTGCAAGACTTATTAATAAATTACTTAAACCCATGAAACTTATATAATTATATAATTTTTAAGAATAATAAATTTAGCCTTTATAAAAAGCAAAAGAAAATGTAAATATTATTATATATAATGGGCTTGGGCTATTGCCCAAGCCTTATATAATATAGCTAGATAATTCAAGGGAGCTTGGATTATTATGTACCTTTTGGCTTAATAATTAAAAGGTTGCTGCTTTGTAGCTTATGAAAGAAGGCGCTAGCTAGCTTGCAGCCCCTTTAGGGCTAGCCCATAATAAATAATTTAAGCTTTAGGGTTAAGGGTTTAAGTCATATTTACTGCAATTACGCGGGCATCCCTTTCATAAAGAAGATCCCTGGCTTAAAAAGGCAATGTTATGGGTAAGCCTTAGGGGTAATTATATCATTATATTAAGGGGGCTTTGGGGGAAGGGGCTATATGATGGGCTTAGGCTATTGCCTAAGCCTTATATAGTATGGCTAGATAATTTAAGGGAGCTTGGATTATTATATACCTTTTAGCTTAATGGTTAAAAGGTTGCTGCTTTGTAGCTTATGAAAGAAGGCGCTAGCCAGCTTGCAGCCCCTTTAGGGCCAGCCCATAACATTATAAAATGTTTTAAAGATTTTAATAACTTAGCATTAATTAATGCAAACCTTATATTAAATCTTGTTTAATTAATATTAATTAATATTAATTACCTTAATTAAATCTTTGCTTAAGTATTGCTTATTAATATAATAAATGCTAATAATATTTTTAATATATATATATATATAGGCTATAAAGAGTAATAAAAGAAATGCTTAATAATAAGCTATTAAAAGAAAACTTAAATTACTCTTAAATATAAGTATATAGGTTAAAGTGCTTATTATTATAAATTAATATATTATTAATCTTTGCTAAATATATATAAAGAAGTTTAACGCTTTTAATAAGCTTATTTATTATAAGGCTTAACTTATTATTTATAAATATATATAAATTCATAATATAAATTATAATAATATTTATAGCCTTATAGCATACTATAATAATTTAAGATTAATTATTATTATTGCCGTTATAATAAGCTAGTAGCTTTGGTAATTTAATATTAAAATAATATATTTATATAGCTATTTAAAATATAATGTTTATATATAATTATTATAAGGGTATTAAATATTATTTAAAAATTAATAGGTTATTTTAAAACTTCTTAATGCCTTATATAAACTTAAATAATTAAGCTATAAATAGTTTAATACTTTTAAAAAGGAATTAATTAAATATTTAATAAAGATAATATTTAACCCTTACGTTTTTATTAAAGATTAAATTATTATCGCTATTTATATTAATAATATTCTTATTATTAAAAGTTCTTCTTAAATTAATAAATTTTATATTAAGCTTATATAATATTTTAAATATAAGGATTTTAATTTTTATAAATATTTACTTAAATTAAAAATTATATAAATTAATAATAAGATTTATATTTTTTAAAAGGAATATGCTTAATAAATTTTAAAATGCTTTAATATATTTAATTATAATTAAAAATAAACTTTTATAAATTTAAATTCATTTTTATAATAAAAGGAACCTAATAATATTATAATAAATATAATGATATATTAATTATTTATTAAATTTATTAATTTTCTTATTATTAAAATAAAACTTAATTTTGCATTTTTATATATAATGCTTTTAATATTTAATATAAAGCTTATAATTTATTATTTAAATGTTGTAAAAAGGGTGCTTTAATATATTTAGTATATATTAAATTATGCTTTATAATTTTTAAAATAAACATTATTATTTTAATTTATTATACTTAATATATATATTAATGCTTTTTATAATATTAATTTAAATAATTTAAAAGTATTTAGTAAATATATATAACTTTTTAATAATAGCTTAATTGCTTAATTATTAAAGCATTAATTTATTATTATAAAATTTACTTATAAGGTAAAATATATAATATATTTATTAATATTATTATATTTTTATTAAATAATTTAAGTATTAAAAGATTTAAATATTAAGTATATTAAATATTTACTTATTTTATATATTAATAATTAGCTAATATTAAACCTTATTTAAAATTATATAATTAATGCTTAATTAAAATATATTACTATTTATTATTACTTTATTTATAAAGAAATTAAAGAGATATATAATATTTATTATATTATATTTAAAGATAATTTTGCTAATATTTATATAAAAGCGTTGCCTTACCTTGCTTTTAAAGAAACTTATATAAAATTAAAATTAAAATAAGTATAAAGTTTATATTGCTAAGGGGATATTTAAATAATTAATTAAAAATAATATAAATAAAATATATAAATATTAAATAATATTTATATAATAATTTTAATATAAATTATAATAAAATATTTAAATTATATTTTTAGCTATTAAAATAAAATATCTTTTATTATTATTAAAATAATAATACTTGCAATAAGGGGTATGTTAAAAGATGCAAGGGTTATATGCCTATATGCTAGCGCTAGCCTATAAATAAGCTCCTTTTAAGCATTTAATAGCGGGGAGATTTCTCTCCTCAACACATAACAATCAACTATCGTTTGCTTTATTGCTTCATCAAATGGTAGCCTGCTGCGGCGATGTCACAGTAAACTCCTGGAGAGCATTGATGAGCAAGACATTAAGGGTCAAGGTCTTTTACGCCCAAGGTCGGAATCGAATGCAAGGCCCATTTGTTGCATCATGAGAATCCGAAGGACTTCAGTCATTTCTCAGAAGTCGCACCATCAATTTGTCTTAGGTCTGCCCCCTTCCTGATAATTTTACCGGTAGCAATGGGCCCGGGAATGGCATGCGCGGGTCTCTTAGACCTGGTGGGCAGGGCAGGCAGTAAATGTCGATGCAGGTCATTGGACAACTTGTGGCATTCAATTTTGACAGGTAGCTCACTTTATTCGGTCACGTTGAAAAGTAAAGTTGGGAACACCAGTCCGCAAACACTGGGAGGCGCTCCCAGCGTCAAGTCTTTCCGAGTATCAGGTACTGAGAGAATTGAGTAGACATATCTGATTCCATCTCTGGAACTCCTCTACAGCACGTCTTACTTCAACTCTTTGCCATGAGATGTCCCTGTTCGATACAGTCTCTGTCCACTCTTATTTGCATAGTACACTAGGCGGGTAAAACCGCCATTATCACGAACAAGCGGTCTGGGCCCCGAATAGTGAAAGGGAAAATTTTATCTGGGGTGTGAATTTGGCTCACATGTTCAACTGCGTTTGATAGAGTGGCAACGAAAACCTTAGAATCCTGTTTGCTCTCTGGCTGTCATGGGCGAGCCCCTTCGGTATCACCAAAAGTCACGTATACAAGGGAAACAGATATTTGGCATTTTCTGACTCACATTCCAGTCTGTTTGACCTTTCTCCCAAAATGGAAATCAAACTGGGTTATCGACCTCTGGTCCCGCCGGAGGGTGTCACGTGCCTTCCTGACTAACCGTACAGTACGAAGTTCGGGTACAGCTCATCTAGCACTGTAGGCCCCACCAGAGCTTTCACTTCACCTTCAGACCACAGCGCCAATGCTGTCCAGCTGACAACGAAGCAACACGGCCATGGCCTCCTTTCCCAATGTCTACACACACCGAAAGGTGGCCGAAGCAGCATCCAAACGATGTGAGATCTGCTTCAAGCCCAGCACGAGCGTGCTGGTGACGCCCGATAAGCAGGTTCGTCTCATCATCGGCTCACGGGACAGCGTCTCATCCATTCGCTCATGCGTCTCGAGTTGCCCGTCCCCCCTGCTCCAGAGCATGGCGCTCTGATGAACAGCCGTCAGGAACGCATCCCTGACTCACCCTCGCAACAGGACTTCTTCTTTGTCTGCCCCAGTCATCTCAAGGACCGTGGGTTCTGCTCACCCATCGTCGATCAGGCCGCGATCGATGCCAAGAAGAAGAAGGACATGGAAGCAGAGGTTGAGAAGGTGAAGAAGGAGTACGAGGAGCGTCAGCGCAAGAAGAAGGAAGACAGTGAGAAGTCCAAAGACAAGGACAAGGAGAAAGACAAGGAGAAAGACGGGGACGACAAGAAGACTGATGATGATAAGGCCGACGAGTCCAAGGCTGAGCAGGTACGTATCTTTACAATGCCACTGGGCCCCAGAAAGCCTGGGTTTTCAAAGTCAGACGCTAATCATTTCGACGCAGAAGGCTGAGGAAGAAGAACCAGCGGAAGAAGAGCCTCGCGTGTTTGCCTTGCACAGGTCTGCTCAGCTTCCTACCAGTCATGGCTCTCGACGTTTACAAGTAGTACGTCTGACACAACTTCAGGACCTTCCATCAGAATCGGGTGTACCAGAAACGGCAGGCCGAAATGGCCAAACGGAACCGAGAACGGATTCAGAACCCAAACTTCTTCCCATCCGTGCCCAAGGGGAATCCTTGACGAACGGGTCACGTCCCCTTGGCTGGGAGCGGTCTGGAGATTTGTAAGCAGATGAAGTCAATATTGGGCTGATCGTGCATGTGTATGCACCTCGTCGAAAATCAGCCCCTTGGGAGTCATGTCAGCGTCGAAAGATATGTCCCGGAAGGGCAACGGCTAGAGTGGCGTTGAAATGCGGGTTTCTGAAGGTCAAACATGCATCAGATCAATGATACAGGACTCTGGTAATGAGGTATTGGCACAAACACCCCAGTTTCACGTCACGGTACTCCAGGCCCGCATCGTCATTGTACTGCCCATGTCACGCAATACTTTTGCCAGGTCTCACCCGTTGGTCATATCAGAGTACCATCCCTGACCCAGCCCGCCCTACGCCCCGTTTCTCCCAAAATCTGACACGAACGCAAGCCCCCCTGCCCGTGACTTGGTCCTGGGATCTCTGATCTCTGGGGCCCTGGCTAACCCGAATTCGAGAGTCAAGACAACCCATGTGCATGGTAATGCGCGCGGCGTATTCGCATCACTCGATGACACCAAAACATCTCCAAAGAGGCTGACACATTCGTCTCTCTCTCTCTCTCTCTGCCCCCCTCGCACCGCAGCGCCTCCATGACAGCGCGGCTTGTGCTGTGCGCGTGCATCGCGCCGAATGGCAGCTGCAGGCTCCTCTCTCTCTCTCTCTCTTGGTGAGGATCATGGCCCTCGACATGTCGAACGCGCCCAACCCCCATGGCGCCCGCCGCCATCGGCCGCTATTTGTCGATCCAGATCTTGCCGTTGGCTGGGAGCTGATTCCAGATACGCATTACCCTTTTCAGCCCAAGTGCTTACCTTGCTGTGCCACCCACGGTTCCCCGGGGCCGGCTTCGTCACACCCACACACGCCATACCAGAGGGAAGGGAATGATGCTGTTTCGACGAGGACGACCCCGCTTTTCTCTAGAGGCGCAGCAACTGAAATTAGTTGTTATTTTGTGATAGGGAGATGTGTCAAACCTTGGAAGATGTGCGCCCTCTTGCTGCAGAAACATGTCCCCGTGATGGATTATAGCTCCTGTTCCCTTGCTTCTTGGAATCAGACATGCAGATAGACTGACACTGCCGTGGGCAATTCGCAAGGGCCTCTACGAGACTTCAGCTCGGTCTCTATTGATGCGAGAAACTAACACAGTCGACTCGTTCAGACGAGATGGGACGGTGGAGGACATGGCGGAGTATAATCCATTAGCGCGTTGCACTAACTAGGGCTAAAGACAACTCCCAATGGCTAATGGAAAGTCCGGTCGCAAGCTACTCGTCTATCACAGTGCATTAGATAAACCATCCAGCCATAAGGATACCCTAACGCGAATGAAATGCCACACAAGGGGGAATCTACCGAGCTCGAGCCCCGACCGACTGCAAGCTCAAAGCTGATACGTGACCGGTGTGCCGGGGACGGCTTCGCTGGGCGTGGAGTATAGCCTGAGATGGCCCTCATGCAGGAGTCCCGTCAGAGCCCCAGTCCGCAGACGTGATCGGGGTATCTTAACCATGTGTATTTTAGCCGTATGCGCCTCTGTGCCGGGTCTCATGATGCTCGCAACACCCTCGCCAGTAATCCACGTGTTCTGCATCGAGAGATCGCCCCACCAGTCCCGAGCCGCCGTCAGCCCACGGACGGCTTCAAAATAACACCTCGTGGGCATACCCAGATAGCGCCTGCCTGATGTCGACGGTGGCGTGCCGCCAGATTGTGTGGGAGGATGCCTTGGGGGGGTGGGGACGGAGGGTGGCAGGCACGAGCCAATGGGTCGGGCCTGTCTTTGGGGGCGTCGTAACACGCCATGGGGAGATGAATGCATGCAGAGCAAACGTACTCCCTCGTGACACGGGGAATATGACAAGTCGACTTGCGTAGGGCTGTAGTGTCACTTGCTCCCGCGATCCTCAAAGGTTCGCAGGGGGAGGGGCCCGACCTTAAGCGACGGGGCTGACGAGATACTCGGCCGGGCGGGGGCACAACAGGAAGGTAGGATGGTAAGGCGGGCAAGGTGAGCATCAGAGTTTGGTGCCCTTTTTCCCTTTGCTCGATCGCGCCAAGATTGTTGGGTGTATTATGTGCATATCTTACATGCATTAAGCCCTCCTGGGCGGGGCCATAAGCCGCGGTGCCACCACCGACCTCCCCCCCCCCTCCGTCCGGGAGACGACCTGGGGCGTCACGTCTGACTGCTGTGAGTAAGCAGATGAGTCGCTTTGACGATGCTACCCAACAGCCAAAGAGGGCAGGCCCGCAGTCGACTCGCGGGCCGGCGTCCTCTGGCCACGGGAGGATTGATAGGCTATGTGTGAGTGCCATTTTGGGGGCCGACGCAGACCTGTCTTGAATTCGGCCCCCATGTCCCACTCCCGGCCCCCGACCGGTGGATAATCTCGGCCTCCTTTCTGATGCCGTGACGGAGTCCCTGTCCCGTTCGGTGGCATGTTGCAGTAAGGTCGCGCGTGTCTTAGCATGCCGGGCATTGATGCATCCTGGACGCGCGAGCAGCCTGTTGCGGTTACTTCACGTTTATTGGAGACGAAACGGAGAGTCTTGTCAGACGGCTGCTTGATCTAGGGCACTCACCGTATATGAGTCATTTTAAGAATGGTATGTGATGAAACTAAAGTGCTGCTGCCGGAATTCAATTTGACCATGCTACATCGGCAGCGAGTGATTGCCATGTCACTCTAGCTCAGTATAGGCAGTAGGACAGTTTCGAGTTAGCCAACTGCAGGTGTAGTTACTATGAAAAGGATAGCATGAAGAATAAAACAGCCCGGTCGGTAAGTGTGGAATCATTGCTCAGGCCATTATGGAAAAGTAAGCGGGTGGGTTTGCTCAGAACAAATTCCTCGACGAGATCGTATGAGTAACTATTAGTGTGCTAGAGCGAAGAGTCCAGCATTTGTTGCGATGATGCAGAAGTTTCAGCCGGGATCCGAACAAACTTGAAGAGTGGAGTGAAATCGTTGTAATGGCTTTCCCCTTCGGCCCTCTTCTCATACCAATAAGATTCCCTTGATGCCTTCAACCTCCCAATACATGCAACGAGCAATGCTCAATGCTTGCCCTAGGGAGCCATTTTGCTTGATTACGCCGTTTCATGGACTATGCTTAGTCCATGGTCCAGGAACAGCTGGTCCTGCGCGTTATCAAAGTCCTCCAGACTCTTCATGTAGTGGTCCATATTTGCGGGCGCAACGGCGACGACCTGACTGCAATCCAGGGCGTTGACCCAGACAACCCAGTCGTCACCGACCTTGTCCTTGAGATTGAACGTGACACGCCAGGTCAGGTAGAGGCGCCCGTCCTGCACGGTGTAGACCAGCTTGTACTCCTTGGCTGGGTACAAGGCATCCCAAAACGGTTGGTTCAGTGCAGTGTGTTCCGCGGTGTCTCGTGCTTGGAATTTGTCGCAAGATGGCGTCGAATTACCGTGGTCAAACTCCCCGGTGTAAAGCTGGTATCGGTTGGGCTCAGAATCATACCATAGCGTACCGTTGTCATCTGTATTCTTTATCTCTGCTTGTCAGCTTCGTGTCATGGGAAGCGATGGTCAAAAGATCGTCAAGTCACAGGGCTCGAGAAGTTCGAGCATCTGAACCAATGGTAGCGATCGAGGTCATCGGCTTACCAAGTTGAGTTGCACCACGGTGTTGTCAATTGCAATATCTCCACCCAAGTTCGTCTGGTTGAACCAAAAATGTCTGTACCATACTGTACCTCCAACATACTTGACACCAGTATAATCATTAGTGATAAAAGTGAGGTCATTCAACTGAGGCGGGGAGAAACGTTGTAACTGGTCGATGGCGGTGCGAAATTCTGGACGGACTGCTATGCAATTGCCACAATCGAGTTCACAGTGGAAATCTTCAGCAGTTGCCCCAGAACATTTCATTGGCTCGACGTGCCCGTTTGTGTAAGCGAGACCAACGACACTCGGGGAGCCAGTCCGGCTAATGGAGGGGACCTCGCCAAAGAATCGAGGGAATTTGTTCGTAGCGATCATAAGGTCTTCCCATTTGACGAGGCGGTGGTGGGCCATTGTGACGGGAAGAATTAAGGCCCACATCGCCCATGCCAGAAAGGGCAGCATTGAAATTTTGGCTGTGGCCATGCTTCGGTTTGTAGAAGGATATGTTGAAGGTTGAATAAAAGAAGAGCCGGCGAACTTAAGAAGACGAGCAATTGGTGCGGTCGCATGCATTTATAGTCGAATGGCTACCCGGCATCTTAATTATTCAAACCCACTGTCTGTGGTGTCCGGAGCTAGGGCCGGCCGACATGTCACGGAACCTTTAGGGTAGAGACCATTGTCACGCGTGCCGGGCTTGTAACAATCGGCCTTTTCGACGACTATTGGGGCTATATGTGGTTTTATGGCTTTTAAATCTGAGCGTCATTCGGTGTTCGTAGGTTCACGGCTACTCACCGTACCTGAGAATGTCCGACCACTTGCCCTAGCTAATAGCTCTAAAGTTCAGACAGAAGCAAGTCTACTACATACACTAAACAAGACAGAAGCAGAACGATTCAGTCGCTACCGTAGGCAGTCTTCAAAACGGGGCAAAGCTGGCTGGGGCAAAGTCCGTCCTGCGCGATTACATCGTGACACGCGGACGAGCTTAGGGACTATGAAAGACTCATGCGAATAACCCTGAATTCCTGGGACCATATCTCCTAGACTGAGGTATCTTGTTGCACCAACTCAGAGACGGGTTGTCCCATCCTTCAACGTGGGTTGGTCATGCGGTCAAAAACCAAATACAAGCCCTGTTGTTCAAGTCTCAGTGCGCCTTAAACCGAGGACCCGATCCAGAGTGTAACCCGGATCGATGATATTTCTTGCACTAAGAACTGACCAGCAACAAGTGTCTCGGTTGAAAGACATCTGTCATCTTCACTAATGTACTATCCGTGTCACAGCGTCAAGCCTGAACCCCTCTGCCTGCCGGTTCATGGCTTTCACATGATGAATTTATCAAGCCTCCGAGCACATCGCCCCAGCAGCGAACCCCTCAAATGTAGATTTAGAGACTCCTTTTGTTGTATGAGAGTGGCTGGTTGCGTCCTTGCAACTCTTCAGCCCCAGCGTTGGTTGACCGATTTGCGGTCATTAAAGCTCGTACGAAGGGCTGATATGGACTGGCTGTCTTTCTCTAATTCTCGACCTATTTGAGGTCAGGTAAAGGCTTTACATCTAAAATCAACAATACACAACAGTTTGTATTGCAGCCCACCCTTCCGGCCGTAGATCCAAAGTCTTTGAAGGTGACCGAGGAGCAAGGAAAGACAACCAACTTCAGATGTAGTAAGGCCACAGGAGTCAGAGACAGTCTATCTGAACTGGGACCGTCCATACTAAGATGGCGGGACAGTCAAAGATTCTTTGCTGTCCTCTAGGGTTGTTACGATGGCCACCTGGGCATAACTAGGCACTTGGAAGGCTTTCAGGGCGCCATGATCGGACAGACTGACAGCAACTCCGCCCGCGATAAACGGACCGCATGTCTCGATGACAAGATGAGCAGTGCATGCTGACGGAATATCACACCAAAAGCCCTTGTTAAACCGAAGGTTGATGTCTGTTGGTGTTCTGTTGTGGACTTGTTCGATGCAATGCAGGCCAAGTCCTTCGCCTTGCGACTGTGCCACACTACTGCTTGACTTTGACACATCCTCCCTATACGACACAGTATTGAGACCTTTCAAACCCCAGTGACTCATTATACTATTTCCCTGCGTACATCATCAATCGTGATTGGGCGAGATCAAGACTCTATCCTGAATCCAATATCTGGGCCCTAAGAGTGATTGCATCGTGCTGACGAGTCCTGATTAGCTGCCTTTTTGGCACGAAGCACGTCTGAACCGCCCCAACAGGCTGCACAAGCCATGTAATCCGGCCCCTTACGTTGACTCCATACCCACAATCCTCCTTGCAGAGTCTTCAAAAGACTTTGTCACGCTTACATGCACCTGGGCGCACCGGACTCGGGCGTGGGCGATTACACAGCGCCGGTGAAGTTTCCCCGCCAGTGCCACAGCATAGAGCTAAGAGAGGCAAGTCTGACAAAGATCTCACACTATACCGCCTAGTGCGCATCCCAATCCCCAAGTCGCGCCGAGTGAATCCTGAACAGTGTGTACTGTGCACATGTGTCCATCAGCGCAGGCAGCCTTGCACGATGATGGGGACCCAGGTATTCCGCAGGAGGGAAGAGCTCGCTTGCGCGCTGCCGAGGCACACACAAAGGACACGCGCATGGACAAGGGCACCACGACGACAGCAAGCAGCAGCAGCAGCAGGCCAAAGGGAAAGTAAACTAATAAAACCAAGTCTCTCGTTCTTACTCTTTCCGCCCCGGCTCGGAGAGAAATCCGCAGTGGAGCTCCCAAATTCCCCCCCCCCGCAACGGGCGCCGCTGGCGAATCGCATGGCGGGCGTTATATACCGTGGCACATAGCCAGCAACCCATGCTCGGGCCAACATCCCCCCCCTCCCTTCAGGTACCGGTACGCGACGGGGCCCTGTCAAGACACACATGGCTTTCTTTCAGCCTTGCCAAAAAAAAAAGGATGGATACATTGGGGCCAACGGGAGGGGGAGGGGACCACCAGGGGAGTGAGTGGGCACGCGTCCGGTCGTAAGGCCTTTTGGGGGCCCCCACTGGGAAATTCATACAAGGCCAGGGCGGGGAGGGACGGGTGGAGAGTACCTACGAACTACAGTAGTGTGCTCTTGGTTGAATGTGTGTGCACGAGGTGTGGCAGATCAGGGGGGGGGGAGGGCAGAACCGCGTTTGCTGTCAAAGATGGGTCTCCACATGCGACGACTGACTCGGTGAACGCCCGGGTAATGGTCCCGTCGTCGTGCGTGGGAAGGGCAGGATTCAGCCCGAGATGAGGAAATGCACGGCAGCCCGGGCAACAAGCAAGCAAGAGCAGAGCAAAGGCACGGTCCCTGTCTCCACTGGCAGGCAGAGTGAGTGGCCAGACTGGTGGAGGGGCCCTTTGGGGGAGCTTCATCATTCCCCTCTCCCCCCTTTGAGTGAGTTTGAGTCCCCGTCACTCACCCCCCTTGCAATTGTTCGCTGTTCGGCGTTCTTGGCCGTCTCGGGCCCCCGGAAGGGTCCCCTTGGATCTCTCCACACAATACTGATACCCACTCCACGGAGCACGTAATGCGTGTATCCAGTGTGTCTGCCAGGCGAGCCAGGCCTGGGTGGATGAGGGTAGATGAGGTGCCATCGCCCTGCCTCATCGTCGCCGTTCGCGCGGAGGATTCAGCGCTGCGTCGAGCCCCGTCCCGCGCGTACCGGAGCAGCAGGCATTCTATGTCTTTGAGAGTTTCCATGTATCTACAACAAGCAAGCAGGCAACAAGGGCACACCCTTCGGTTGGCCCCCCTCTCAGCCCGCCCCGGTCCGTCTCGGTCTAATTTGTCGGGAAGGGGTTAATGGGGAGGGGCACACACGGGGCAGGCAGCACGGTTCCGGATTGGGGGCTTTTGACGCCAGATAGAGTTGAGACGACCCGTTCCAGCTGTAACGTGTCGCTCCAGAGGTGCGTGTGGCCTTGCCTGCCCAGGAGCAAACAATCAATCTGCTGTTGTGCCTTGCGCCTGGGCACCACGGCCGGGCTGGCTGAGAGGTAGCCAGAGAGGGCAAGAGATGTGCAGGGCGACACGCGGTGATCGACGGATTTGCCCTGCGTGCTGGAAGCTGTCACTCCAAAACCTGGGCGGAGATGCGCACGGCCTGGCGCTGGAGGTCTGCCCTTGTTTTTCATCATTTGCTAGGCTGCCATGGGGCAACTGCCCAGGTCGACATCGCGTGGTCGGCTCCGTAACTTGGGACGTGCTACACCCGAAGCAGTAAGATTAGTCGAAGTATGGTGACGATTTCAAGATTCCAATTAGCGTTTATTAGCCCTAGGGCAGGTTCTCATCCCCGTCTCTCTTTTCCCATCGCAATGTCACGATCGCCATAATGGATATGGGAAGCCAGTACCGGAGGTCTGGGGCCGGAGATGAACTTGGCTGTGGTCTTCGGCGGCGCACGCCCACCAGCGTCCGGGGGGCGGTCCCTCGGGTAAATTGCCGAGGTTTCGTCTGCCAGAGGATGCTGGAGAGCTGGCGAGTGAGGTGCCGCGGCCATGGATGAAGAATGTTCCCTTGCATGGCGCTAGAAGAGTTCTAGAAACTTTCTGGAAACAAACTTTTGGCCTTGCACGCGCAACGCACCCGTACAATCCGGTGCACCCAGAAACGTAAGCTACTGCACTGCGCCAAATGGTCGTGGCTTGGCAATGGGCAGTTTTTTTTTTTTTTTTTGAACTGGCGCACCACCACACCGCCTAACAACACGCCGGATGAGGGGCGACTCTGCGTGTTGTTTTGCTTACCGCGTTCGCCACAGCATCAGCCGCGCGTAGAACTGTTCCCGTCACTGGCGCGGCGAAGGAGGCGTCGACTAGTACAGCTGAAGAAAACTCATCCGTGGGCATGGAAGCATGGTTATGCAGGCACGCACGCGCAGGCAAGGATTTTCTCTCGTGGCTGGTGGTGATGGCTGTTAGACCATTGTTGCTTGCTGAGCACTGCCGGCCTTGCTTCAGGGGGATCGGCGCGAGCAAATCCACCAAAGTGCCCTCCCGACGACGCACCTCGCAGCCGACGACCAAGCCCGCTACGATTGCCCTACCGCTCGGGTATCCACCCCGTCGGGCTGGCGGAAGGAGTTGGAGTTATTACGACAGGGGGTTGGCTGGCCGGCGTGCCCAATAGCATACCAACGAGGGCGATGCCGATCTTGACTGGCCACCGCCGGCCACCGCTGGCATCGTCCAAGAGTCTGATCATCATCAGCCGCCATCTTGATTATTTCTGTCTGCCGTTACATCCGTCTGGTGTTGATGGTCAATGTGCATGCAGCAGCATCTACTGGTAGTCTGTTGGTATTGCGTGGTAGCGGTGGAGTCTGTGAGTCGCCCCAGATGTCATTGGGTACCATCGCGTGTTAACACTTCATGACTCTGAGAGATTTCCGATTGCTTTCGGCCATCCTCATCACGGGCTGATGGCCAAGTGAATAGTGATCACCTCCCACTAAGCAGGTAGCGACCATCTTTCCCGGTACCGATTTGAGGCCTTCATCAGCACGCAATGAGGTTACCCTGGGTGGCTGGCTGAGGTTACTATCAAATCCGGCACCAAAGTGGACATGACCAAGGCCGGATTTGAGGCATCGCAATAACGACCAAGTCGCACACGCATCGGGCCCAGCTGGGATATGTCATGTTCAGGCTGTCAGGGCATAATTGCGTATATCCGTACTGGAGCCCCGACTAGATGACACAGACAAAAGTAGTAGTACCCCGTCCCTCCCCGTGGAGCAAACCTCTCGACGGACCGGCCCTTTCGGCCCCCGAAATTTCGAGTCACGAGACACGTCAAAATACCACCACGTTCGAAACCGCGAGGCGGGACCCTGCTGTCAGGACTTGTGTGTGTGTAGCCACACCCGGTCCGAGGAGGAGTGGGCGGGAATATCGCTCAGGCCAGCCGATGCTCTGCATAAATTCCCCACCGGGCTTGACTGGTTGTGTTACGGGTAGCAGTGCCAGCCGCTGCAATCAGGACCTGGGGCCCGCGGGGGCGTCAGCACACACACACCCTCAGGCCAGGTGCCAGGCGCCGCCCGTCCCAAGAGCCAGTCAGAGAGGCGCGGTATGGGCGACTATTGTAGCGAGATGGCAGGGCGGGTGTGAGGGCTTTTGTCGCGCGCCTGTGTGGCCAGTGATTATGTGAGGGTTTGATATGAGAAAGGCGTGAGAACTAGGCAGTGAACACGGGCTAGTCTAGATTGCTAGCCGGCCCAGCGAGTAAGAGTGAGTGAGTGGTTCGTCACCAGTGAGCAACACCTGGGCGGGGCCATTCCCTGCATGAGGCGGGCACCCTGGGTGATGCATCATCATCAATCTCCTTCTCCCTTCAAAGCGCCAGAAACGCTGCGGCGCCCTGCATCCAGACCCTATCAACCTCCGTCTATTGTCATCAGGTGATTCGCTTCGCCGTCAGCCCTTGTTGCAGCCTTACGTACCAGACAGAGGCTTGCGGCGGCGGCGGCAGCAGCCTCGACACGTCACAGGGCACCTTTTTTTCTCAGTACCGTACCGAGCAAGTCTGGGTAGTCCACCAGTAGTAGCCACCCGTCTGTCAGCGCAGCTCCGTTTGGCTGCCAGGGCATGTGTGCCGGGGCTGCGCCTCTCTCGTGCAGGGAGGGAAAATCCGGGGCCCTTGTGTCAGCCCTGTGGGGAGACGTTTCTGGACGACGTTTGGTTTTGCCGCAGGGCAGATCCGGATCGGCAGTCCGATGACGGCCCGCCTCTCCTGTTCGGTCGGCCATGCCGCCGTGTCTGCGTTGTCTGTCTACATACAGTAGTAGTCTGTCTACAACTTGTCAACGTGTGTGTGGCCATCGTCTGCTGCTCTTGCTTATCACCCCACGCACGCGTGTTCGTGAGCGGGCATGATGGTTGACGTGGTGGATAGAAAGGTCCTCGCATTGCATTGTGCCGGACAAAACTTTGTGCCGGGTAGATGGATGACACGAAGTCGAGCGGATGCAATGCAATGCAGCCCCGTCGTCGTCGTCACGGGCACGGATGCTTTTTCCTTTTTCTTTTTTGTTTGCGCTGGTGACATGGTGGTGGTGGTGGTGGTGGTGAGCAGCAAATACGGGAGGCTCGGAAAAACACCTCGCACTCTTGATATCAGGCCCTGTGCGACACATGCAGGGGCAGCTGCAGGAGGGAGGCGCAGCCTAGGCTGGTGGGTGTGTGGGAGCAGAGTACCATGGCCGTGTCGGCCTGCTTGAGCCGAAATGACATACATGCCTGGCATGCTTACCTCTGCTCTGCCGTCCCCATAGACTTCGGTACCGACGGACACAGGTTCGTCACAATGCAAGGCGGCCGGGCCTTCAACCCTCCCCCGCGTCGAGATAGCCCGAAGGGTGTTTAAAAAAAAAAAAAAAAGGAAGAAGAAGCAAAGCAACGTCAGTCTCGGAGACCGGTCCACCGGCCCCATGTGCCAGATGAAGCCCCCTTTCCCGGCATCCTGCGGCCCAAGATGGTCTGCAGTGTGTCTGTCCACCCAAGGAAAATATCGAGTATATCCCCAGCCTCGGACTCGCCTGTGTCAAGGCCGCAGGTGCTGCCCGCCGCCCTGGACGAGACGGCATCACGCGCATGGCCTCAGCTGCGCCATGTGCATGAGGGGATCGCCAACGTGATCGGTGATCGCATATTCCTCCCGTCGCGGTGGCAGCCATCAAATGATGGCCCATGGTGGGCACGCGGCGCGGCGTCTGACCGGCGGCAGCCACCCCAAGCCACAGGAGGCCGGCAAATGTCTTTCTCCGTCCGTCTGCGTGTCCAGAGAGCAGCGCTTGTTCTGCTCTGGTAGTCCAGTCGCCGTCCTGGACGTTGTCGGCCGGCAATGCGGTCGAAAATTGAGGCTCAACCCGTTGAGCTATTTCTGACCCGCCTGACTGACTGGCAGGTGGCAGCTTACTCAGACTGTGATCGGCGGAGGTTGTCTGTCCCTTCGGCTACCCGCGATGGCGTACATGGACATGGCCGGAGAAGGGGAAATGGAAGGGGGGTGGGGCGTCGATGGGTTGAATGGGCGATAAGCCAGGCGACTGACCCACCTTGCAGCCTCTTTCGGCGATGATCTCTTATTCCCGGAGATTGAAGCTTCTGCCAAAAGGAAAATCTCCAGAGTGCCAGAGGACTTGGTAGCTGCCACGGCTGCCTGCCGCCTCAGTGGGGACGTAACGTAAGAGGCACTCGATGGCTCGACGTCAAACCTTGCAGTCCCTTGTGTTGGTTGGTGCTTGGGACGAGGTTGGGCTGTGGTTCGTGCTGACAACGAATTTGTGGATGCACGTTCTGAGCAAAACAGTTGATCATTACGCAGTGCCACACACTGGCCAACACCTCGAAGCATGGTTACTCCGGGGCGGTGAATTGTCCGGGTAACGAGGCCATCCCGTAAAGCAATCTGCGCATTGTTCAGTTGATCTTCCCCGTCCCATTGGGCCAGCGCCCGTCGAGTCAGTAGAGTCGCAACAAGACGCCGAGATTGTGTGCGTCCAGAAGCTCTGAGCACCAGTTCCCCGGGCCCCGTCCCCCAAGACCGAACATCCTTCCTGCCACCGGAACGACCAGACCGTCTTGGAAGCCGTCAGTTGCCGCGGGCAGGGACCCGTTACACGAGATCTTTTCCCACTCAGACCTGCATACTGCAACACGACCTATGAGGCCGGCAGGAAGCGTGTCTGAGTCGGCCCTACGAGACAGCCCAAGGCGAATGGAACCGCCCGTGCTGGGAACACCTCGGCCGTAATCCCTTGCCTCGCGCCTCCAATTGGGCCGTGTCGTCGAGATGGCCACCACCCCTTGGCCTCATTTTTAAAGGGCCGTGGAAGGAAGCCCCGGCGATTAGGCCGGATCAGACACAAATACACAAACACACAGACACACACACACACACACTCGCTCGCTCGCTCGCTCACAGACACACACAAGAGCTTGGTCGACGTCGAATGCCGTGCGGCGTGGCACGAGCCCAAAGTCTTCTGCATCTCGCGCGCCCAGAACCGGGAGCGCGCATGCTCCATACCATGCTGGTCAGCCCGGTGGGTCGTCACCACGGGCCCCACTGCCTGAATGACCTGATGAGCGATGGAACGTGCCACATGGGGCATCACACATCCACGAGATATTTCACGTGTGTCCCGGCGGACGCGGCTGGCCGTTGGAATGGCCGTGGGATGTTACCGAGACCAGGCACTGGCGCCGTTTCCAGAGACGGCAGCTCATCGACGACCGACTCAGTCATCTCTGGCGCTGGTGTCACGGGGCGTTTGCCCTATAGGGGCGTGTAGCCAGGCCCGATCGTGAAAGCCGGAGGCGACTACGATGCACGTACCCGGTGGTACCCCGTACAGCCCTCTGGATCTGTCTCGGTATGACATGCTTTCTTGGGACACGATCTCAGAGACATCGTGTGTTGGTTGGTGTGCCCCTGAGTCGGTAGTCCCAGAACGGTGTTTGCCTCCCCCGACATATGTCCATGACGGCACTCACATGCCCAGAGCCTGTGCGTCTATACATGGTAGGGCCGAGTAACGTGTCAGCCAATGTGTGTACAGTGAGTGATTGGTGGCGGGTGGTGCTTGGAATGGGAACGATAAATCACTCACTCACTTCGCTCGGTGGCACTCTTCACTCGTACTGTACGAACACATCTCGTGTCTTTCGTATGGGGGGTTATTAGATGTGAGGTCGAGAGTGGGTCTGGCAATGCCAGGGATCAAGATGGCAAGATGGATGCACACAAGTCAATGCTGTGAGTGAGTGTGTGTGTGTCTGTGTGTTTGTGTGTGTGTGTGTGTGGAGCCCCCTGAGCCGCCCGCGGAGAGCTGAAAGTCTCGGCACCCAGCCCCTGAGCCACGGCCTTCCAAGGCCCAGACACGCCATCAGTGGCGGTCCCCTCCTCGCCTAGGCTGGTTAGGTAGGGCTGGCTAGGGCTGGCTGTGTTCAATGCAAGCGTGGTAAAGCACGCTGGCCTATGGACCGCCTACTGTATCAGATGCAGGTTTCTAGGCGCGCCTACGCGTTTTTCTCAGCTGGACTACCCAGGCCTATAGTTTCCTACGTGTACTCGCTAATCTAGACCACACCCACGACTACACCCCGTGAAAGTGTGATACGAAGAGACGAACATGATCTCCGTTGACGTCTTTGCGCAAGATCAGCTCGCATTGATTTGACTTGATGATCCTCATCCTGCATCAAACGAGCACGCTGCCACACACACACACACACACACACACACACACATGAAGTTCCCTGATTCAGTTCCACAGACACAGACACCACCCAAGAGGCCTCCCCAGTCCCATGTGTGTTGCTGCATTGTTGTCCGGCCCCTAAGCTTCCTGGGATCATCCGTCAACCGCGTGCCGGACCAGAATGCTCAACCCTCACTGCCGCGAACAAATCTCACGGCCGATTTGTGTTTCTGCAACGGCCATCTGACACCAAGTGAGTCATGGCTATGCAGCTGCATCTGCAGCTCCCGTCCTGCCCTGCCCGCTCGAGACTCGAGAGACCCGTGCCATCGCGTCCACGGCCTTTCTCTCTCTCTCGTTCCCGCCGGCGGGCGAGGCGACGGGATGGGTATGGGATGGGGGCGGCATCTTGCAACCGCCCTGCCCTCCACGATTCGCCCCGGGAAACGTCGATCGATCTCCCGTGTCTTCCCTCGGGTATCACCACGCCCAACAGCATCTCCACAACGGGGCGCACAAGAACCCCCCTCTGTCCCCCGGCACCCGGCCCTACTCACTCACCTGCACCCATCCGTGTAGCAGTGAAAGGTTTTGTCTCACGGCTCTCCCCTCAATTCTGGAACTCATGTTCCCCCCTCTCTCTCACAAACGCTGCAACACCGTATGGGAGGGCATGGCCTTGCCTGCTGCCACCCCAGACCGGCCGGCCTGCCTACCTACCTACACAACCTGCCTAGCTGCGTGTGGTAATCTGATTCATCCAAGGCGGAGCTTGTGCCATGATACCACCGCCCGCCAACCAGAGCCGGTCCCCTCCAGGCGTAGGTGTGATATTGAAACAAGGAATATCAAAAAAGAGGTTACAAGAAAAACCTGCTCAATCGCAGCTCTCCCCGGGCAGGCAAGTTCTCGTCCGTCTCTTCTGTCTTGCACAGCCCCCCGGCCAAACTCTAATGCTAACACAACATATTCTTATGCACGTTTGTGTATGTGGCCCAGGCCAACCAGAACCCTTCCCTCCCTCCCTCACCCCCCCCGTCTGCCCCCCCTCCTGCTTAGATCTCGCATGCATGCATCCCCACCTGGCAAGGGGCGATGCCGCTGACGCCCCAGGCAAAACCTTCTCGGCACGCCAGAAACAAGAGCTTCCTCTGCCCTACGGGCTTCCTGCCGGGTCCCCTCCCTAAGGGACCCCTCAACCTTGCTTGCCCCCCCCCTTAGGACCCCCATGATCTATATGTGCTATGCTTTTATAATAATGCAGCCAGCCTTGTCCTGTCCGGGGCAAAAACCTACGCCGTAGTTTCGAAAGGGGGCATCTTACTATGTACATGTGTTTGTGTGCATGTATGTATGTACTGCCCTGGGCGGGACGTCGCTGGCTGGCTGCGCTGGCGGACGGACATGCGGATGTGCCACGCCCCGGGGAGCCCTCTCTGGCTTTGCGACGACACGACGACGCGGCCCCTGGCGGGAAGTGGTGGATGGGGGGAGGGGACCACTGCGCAGCGGCAACAAGGCTCCCTCCCCGCCATCCAGCAGTAGCGGCATGCAACTGACATGGGATGGACATGTGCGCCTCGTGCGTGTCAACTGGTGTGTGTGAGCGTGCGTGCGTGCGTTGCATGTGTGCCTTGATGGACACGCACACACGCCACGGAAGAAAGATTACATACACTGCACGTTGTGTGTGTACTATGTGATCTACTACCACTCCGCCCTTGCGCGAGGCGTGCTTCCCCCCCGGGGGACGTCGTCTCCCGCACCGCAGGTGGATACCCACCCAGGAACGGCAACGAGAGCGCACCCTCGACGCGGGTAATGACTCGGGGACGGAAACTCTCTCAACTCACAATTTAATCATCCCCTTTGCGGACGGAGGCTGTAGAATGTGCGAAGTGCGCCAGCCTCAAAAAGACTGTGCGCAGCAGAGACGAGTTGTGCAAAGCAAAAGCATCGTCTGATGGAGCTCCGCCGTGGGTTTGGGCCCTCCGTCATCGCCTCTTCCCTCCCCTCCCCCGCCCCCCTTCGCATTAAACCTCCCGATCCATATAACTGCCCCGACGCGTCGATATGCCTGCGGGCCTGGGCTGACTGGGCTGGGCTGGGTAAGCTTGCTGGGCCGGCAGGCTGGGTGGAAAAGGCAATGCAATGCATTGCATCGCATCGCATCGCGTCACATGCCAGCCCGGGCTGCCAGGTGCGCCCATGCACGCACCCTTTCTCCCCACGGGAAGAGCATTAGGGGGAGAAGAAGGGACGGACGGACAGGAGCCCGGGATCAGGTACCCGGGCTGTGTGCATCTCTTGTGCGTGTGCCAGTTGTGCGTGCGTGCGTGTGGGTGGGCTGGACTGTGGGGGGGGGGGACGAACCGAGCTCTGACAGTATTCGCCCCCAAACTTCGTCGCCAGGGGTTGGGACTGGGGAGGGGGAGGGGGAGGTGGAGGTGGAGGTGGGAACCGGCGGAACTGTAAATTCAGTGGTGGCAGTTACTTGCGGTCGAATCAAGGTTGAACGGATTATGCAGCCTGGCTGCCATCGCCTGGCCTGATAGGGCGCGAAAGGGGGGGAGGGGGGAAGTATAAATGACGACCGGGGTATCGGGATGGGAGTGAAGGAGGGAGAACACTTGCAGTTGCACGGCAGGACGGAGATCGTGACAGTCCCGAGATTGAGGCTGTGATCGAGCACGTTTGGAGCGAGAGAGCGAGAGGCTGGGGTTTGGAAGATTCTGGGCAGGGCTTTGCCACGCCTTGGGTAACTCCGTACGACCTCAAAATACAACCTCGACGACGAGACGAGACAAGAATAAAAAAAGGGCTGAAGGGCGGATGGCATCAATGGGCTGCTGTTCCCTGGCGAGAAGACGAGGAAACGAGATGACAAGGGTATGGATGCAGTTGACTACTACTCTGCGAAACGGTGACATCGATCAACGGAATGCTTTCAGGCACTTGGGTCTCACGGCTGTTACTTGCACAGTGGGGCTCTGGAACCCTCGATGCTTCCGAGGGCGAATGCCGTCCCTGAGTACTGTAAGGAGCTGCCACTATCGCGAGCACTAATCGACTATGGCTGCCATGATGCCCGCTATTGCGACTATCCTAGGGTGTTGTGCACTATGTAAGTGTGCGCGATGCGCCAGCCTGCTACCTGCGCAGGCAGCCAGGCAGATAGGCAGGGGATGCAGGTCGTCGAGGGCTCCATAGTCTGGTACACTACCGACGCGATATAGCAAGACCTCGAACTCTTAATTTCCTGTCACGGGCGGCGGGAGAAGACTTCTGGAAGCAGCGTGTGGTTCGTTCGCCCGCTCGTGAACCACCGCACCCGCCCACACCCTCCCTCCCAACAACCGTTCATTTAGCGTTCCGGTTCGTTTCTGATGAGACCAGGCAGAAACAAGATTGCAATCTACATGGCACCGGCTGCCCAGCTTCCCCAGGGAGCAAGGTGCCCACGCCCCTTGCACTCCCCGGCGTTCGAACAATGCGTATCAGGTCCGCCCTGTGACGGGGCGGTACACTCACACACACACAGACACGTGCGTATAAGGGTGCATGTTTCAATATTTCATCAGGACACACACAAGTTTGGTTTCCTCCGTGTGATGCATGCAACCACAAGAAGGAGGAGAAAATGTTAAAAATAACATTCAACAGCTCGAACACATGGGGTAGGCGGGCGAAGACAACTTATCAGTGGTTGAAACCTTGTCGCGGAAATTGGGCTGTGCCGGTGCTCATCCATGGTTTTGACTCCCCCAAACGCCGTTGGTCCGCGACGCCACCGAGGACTGGGAGCGAAACTTTCCTAGCTGCAGCTTTGCCACGTTTTCCGCCCCGTGTGCCGTCGCAGTGGGAAAGGAGACCTGGGAGGGGCGAAGGGGAAAGCAAGACGAAGATCGCGGCCGGCATTTACGGGACTGGTGAGAGGCGCCACACACAGAGAGAGAGGGACTGGAGGGAACAAGCCTGCAGGCGGGACGTCGCATGGTCGTGGTCGACGATGCAGTCTTTGGGGCCACGATCCCTAAGCGACTGCAACCACGGAGATGAAGGGGCCAAGGGTCCAGCGTTACGCCCTCTTATCTTTTCGTCTCCCTCACTCGCTCTCTCGCTTCCTCTGACTCTCGCGCCGTGTACCGGGGAACTTTCAGGCCTGTCCTGCCTCAGAAACCCCTGTGGGGTTGACGACCCATCTGTCTGT